TGCTCAAAGAGCCACGTCTTAACTCTCCTCCGAAACACCAGCAACGAAGGGGCCTGCCTGATGTCCGCTGGTAGGGCATTCCATAGCCGAGGGGCCACCACCGAGAAGGCCCTGTCCCTTCCACACAGCCCTATGTAATGATTCTTACCTCGTAGGCCAAAAGAGAAGTTTGGAATATCAGTAGACAGGACTCCATTTTGGGAGTGTAAGTGAAGGAAGCAGACATCTTGGGAGTGCAAGAGATGAAGAGGGGAGGAGCTGAAGCTCTCCTTTGATTGGTTAGGACAGATGGGAGGAGTTTAGTGCTGAGAGGGAAAAGTGTCAGCTTGAGAGAGAGCAGAGAGATTGATTTTTGGGTTTGAAGAAGGAGGAGTGATTTTGGGAACAGAAGAGAAGAGAAGTAGATTTTTGAGCTTAGATTTTTCTGACAGAGAGCGTTTGTGACAGGCAAGGCTGCATTGTTGGCCAGGGAGGTCAAAGTAGTCGCCTGGGTGCTTGTGTGGGTTTTTACACAAGTGGTTTGCTCTCTGGGTTAGAGTAGATTAGCTTTTAGAGGACTCTACTTAGAGTGTAGCTAATTGCTCTAGGGACAACCTGTTTAGGTTAGTCTGGGGAACTCACTGCTACTGTGTTATTGTAGAGTGAGGAGTTTTACTCGTATCTAAGTCAAGTAACCTGTTTGAAGTAACCATCAAGATTATTGTGCCTCAGTAACCATTCAAGCTTGTGTGCCTCATTAAAGAAGATAGTTGTTTGTTCGATATTATAAATAAACATTTTCTCTAGTTCAACTTTTAAAGAAGCCTCAGTAGTGATTCATTCCTGTGAGAATATTTCCATCTGTTTTAACATCTTTACATCACAGTCATCTCAGAGAGCTAAGGGAGAGCTGGTGGACAAGAAGAAGTTTACCTCGGGGAATCATCTGTAGTTTCCTAAAGTAAATTAGGTGGTGGCAGCGAATCTATCAAAGTGCACATGTTACTTCATCCACATATATAAACGCTCTGTGCCAGAATCATATTCCATCAGATTGGTGACAGCGGTGTGGTTTATCCTTGAGTTATAATACCAAGATCCTTCATACCCTATATCCCAGAATACCAAGGTAGAACATCCCACATTATCTGAGTGTGGACTCAGATAACCCAGTTCAAAGCAGATATTGTGGGATTTCCTGCCTTGATATTCTGGGATATAAGGCTGTGTGGAAGAGCCCTGAGCTCTCCAAAACACGTACGAGGGTTGAATGAAAAGTAATGCCTCCACCTTCATTACTCCTCAACAGATGGCAGTACTGGTATGCGGCAGGTACTGGCTTGTTCAGTAGACTCTCCTCTGCAGTTCCATTTTGGCAGGAAGCCTTAGCATTGAACACTTGTGTTGTTAAAGTGCAAAGTATGGAACTCTGAGCAGATGGTCGGTCAATGCGACTTAAGCAACGTGCAGTCATTGAATTCTTGACAACAGAAAATGTCACCCCAAAGGAGATTCATCAGATAATGCAAGCTGTTTATGATTATTGTGTTGGTGTGAGTACTGTGCATCGTTGGGTGACTAAGTTTAAAGATGTTGAGGTGGGAACATCTGACTTGCATGACAAACAAAGAGTTAGATGTCCTGTAACAGCAACCACTGAGTTTCACAAGCAAAACGTTGACAGATTGGTTCAGAATGATCGTCGTATCACTCAGAGAGAAATATCAAGCATAATTGGCATTTCACAAGAACGTGTGGGTCACATTATTGCTTTTCTTGGCTATCGGAAGATCTGCACATGATGGGTACTTAGGATGAGAGAACTGTGAGACGCTGGTTGAGGAAACAGACTGTTGACTTCTTCCACGACGGTTTCAGAAAACTTGTTCATCGTTGGCAGAAATGTATCCAATTGTCTGGTGATTATGTGGAAAAGTGAGTAGTGGTAGTTAAAGAGCACATTCTAAGGATTATTTCTGCGTTTGATGTATTAAAATATTCCCATCCAAACCCAAGTAATGAAGGTGGAGGCATTACTTTTCATTCAGTCCTTGTATTTCATAAATTTGTTATTAATTGATTTATGGGTGAGTGGAAGAAAAGGCTTAGGATTGGGAGTCTAGGTCAGCTACTTCATTAAGGAGTTGTAATTAATTCCCCTCCTGGTCCACCTTAAGAGCCAGCCACCAAATCGATCAAAAATGGTCAGTTCAGCTTGTGATCCAATACCAGGAGGAGGATTGTTGTCGGTTTTTTCGGGCTGTATGGCCATGGTCTAGAGGCATTCTCTCCTGATGTTTCGCCTGCATCTATGGCAAGCATCCTCAGAGATAGTGAGGAGGATGTTTCTACTACCCCAGTTCACCAGTGAGTGAGGATACAACAAAAACGTGTGATAGGAGCCCTGCTTCTAATGGCCATAGGCTCACTCACTAGTAAGAGGGTGTGTAAATGTCATCCTTTGCACCCTAGTGGCCAACTGAGGCCCCTTCTACACTACCATATAATCCAGATTATCAAAGCAAATAATCCACATTATCTGCTTTGATCTGAAATATCTGAGTCTACACTGTCATATAATCCAGTTCTAATCAGATAATCTGGATATTTTATATGGCAGTGTAGAAGGGGCCTCAAAGCATCTTCTTCACCAAGTGCAGTGAATGGCTCTTAAGGGAGGCTGTGGTGGCATTTGTATCTTAATGGTAAGACTGATTTCTTACTGAATAAGTATCCATTGCCAAGGACAAGATGGATGCATGGTATCCTCAGAGGGGGCCCTAGGTAATTTTCAATGGTAAGCAAACAGTATTTTGCCCCCCCCCCCCCAACCAATCACTGATATGTGTTTTCTGTTCATCGTGGGAGTTCTGTGTGCTATATTTGGTTCAATTCCATCATTGGTGGAGTTCAGAATGCTCTTTGATTGTAGGTGAACTATACATCCCAGTAACTACAACTCACATATGTCAATGTCTATTTTCCCCCAAGAGCGCCTCAAGAGCGCCCCTGGGCAACATCAACTCTACTGCAAAGGCTTACTTTGCGTAATGGGTTGAGCTGCCCCTGGGTATCCTTGAAGTGACTGGCTTGACCTTGAAGGAGTTGGGGGTGGCAACGGCCGACAGGGAGCGACTGAACGAATAAACAACAACACATTCATAACTTTCTGTTATTCTTGCTGCAGTATTGAATACCATCCTAGAATAATTATTCCAAGCTGTGCTGCTCCGGCTGTACCAGGAGCTCCAAACTCTCTTTCATTCTTTGAGTGTTTGCATGTTCTTGTTCTGGCCGTGCACTTTGCAGTTGGATGGTTCCTGCTAGGCTGCAGTCATGAGGCTGCAGCACAACACCTGCCTATCATCGTTAAGTTTTAGTTCCGCCCTTTTTTCCAGGTTCAGGAGGGAAAGGGAACCATTTTAGTTCAGTCTTACCGTTGAAAGCTCAGCTACAGGACGTGAAAGTTTTCTAGCTGTAGGGAAGAGCTTCGTTTCTTACAAAGTCCAGTGGAAAACAGCCCCAAAATCTCTGGCTGGGGAATTTACAGCCTCTCAGCTTTAAGAACAGTCTCTAAAGAAAGGCTTTTAAGAGAAACAGCTTTACAGCACAACCCTTGTTGGGGTTAGAGAAACGGACTTACAACTTTTGTGGGGAAAATCCTAAGGACTCCAGCTGGAAATTCTTCAGAGCCTTGGCTAGTAGGTCTACTCGGGTACCCAAGAAGCAATTTGGAGCTGGGAGTAGAGTCCACACCAGCAAAGCCTAGAAAGCAGATTGCCCAAGGAGGGGTCAAAAGGGTTTTCTTCATAAAGGAAAGAACTAGTTCTCCAAGCAAGTTGCCTGTCCATTGTAGACAAGTTAAGAAGCATTTGTTTGATTTGTTGAAGACCTAATCAATAATAAAGAACTTTGTTAAACTTTTAAGCTTCTAAAGACTTTGTATAGGAAAACCCATAGGGCCTCTCATCCCAGGCACCCCGGCTTCCCGCTGGGCACAAAGAGCACGTCCTGTTCAAAAGCCAATTGCTATAGGCCCAGCACACAAGCAAATCCAATTATTTGAATCTTTTAAAATTCCACTTATTGTATTTGGAGAAGGGAGAACTCTAATAAAAATTAGGATATTATGGAGGCAATTCTTCACCATGATGTACTCAGGTCTACTAGTATTGATGATGGGTGGAAGTGGACTACTCAACTACAAACACTTCGATTGGTCTGATTTGTATTTAAAAGTGGGATTGTTCACACCAGATTTTCTTTTGTGTACAGACTGGGACTTATCTGACTATCACAAACACAATAAAATACAATTAACGCAGATCAATGTGCTTCAAGAAAAGATGTATTAAACAGTTACTTACTTCCTGAAAGTGCAAATAGTTCTTTGTAATGAGCGCCTAAAAGGCAATGATGTGAGAATTAGCCCATGTTATAAAAGAATGAGGTGCCAAGATAGTTCTTGGAGATTCCATCTGAACCTGAGGAAGAACTTCCTGACTGTGAGAGCCGTTCAGCAGTGGAACTCTCTGCACCAGAGTGTGGTGGAGGCTCCTTCTTTGGAAGCTTTGAAACAGAGGCCGGATGGCCATCTGTGAGGGGTGATTTGAATGCAATATTCCTGCTTCTTGGCAGAATGGGATTGGACTGGATGATGGCCCAGGAAGTCTCTTCCAACTCTTTGATTCTAGGATTCTATGATTCTATAACTTCCTGACTGTAAGAGTCGTTCAGCAGTGGAACTCTCTGCCCCGGAGTGTGGTGGAGGCTCTTTCTTTGGAAGCTTTTAAGCAGAGGCTGGATGGCCATCTGTCAGGGGTGATTTGAATGCAATATTCCTGCTTCTTGGCAGAATGGGATTGGACTGGATGGCCCAGGAGTTCTCTTCCAACTCTTGGATTCTATGATTCTAGGGTTCTATGATTCTGTCCTGTATTGTAGCCCAGTAAGTCACACATATGACTATGATGTGTTTCCACTGACCACAGTTTCTCTATGTCTTTTATTCTCTTCTTCAGGTTGGAGGGCATACTATGCTTCCCATCCGTTGGATGCCTCCTGAGAGTATCATGTACCGGAAATTCACAACAGAGAGTGACGTCTGGAGTTTTGGTGTGATCCTCTGGGAAATCTTCACATATGGGAAGCAGCCTTGGTTCCAACTGTCAAACACAGAGGTATTGGGGATGCAAGGATCAGCAGAGATAACACTCTCCAATTGAGAGAAAGATGGAGTTGATGTGTGTCGGTGTGAAATAGAAAGAATATTCACTACTTTTTCATTTCTGGTAGAAAGAACCGCAATCTTCACAACAAAAATCTCACACACACAAAAACTCTTTGTGCCTGTTAACTTCAAACGTGGAACAATACCTCCCATAACCAAATTAAACACTACAGTCTAGTTCTCACATTATTTATTTATTTATTTATTTCGTGCATTTCTACCCCGCCCTTCTCAACCCCCGAGGGGGGGACTCAGGGCGGCTTACAAAAAGGCACAATTCGATGCCAACACAAACAATAAGATAAAAACATATATCAACAGCAATTATAAAACAATTAAAACAATCAATTATACATCACAATCCATAAAACCAGTCTAGTGCTCAACATTCACCAGCTCAGAGTCCGTAAATTCATTCCACATTGTCCAATCCTATCAATTCTAGTCGTCATTGTCCTTTGTCTATCTATCAGATTAACCAAAGGCTTGGTCCATTATCCATGTTTTCAGTTTCCTTCTAAAAGAGAGGAGGGATGTCGATGACCTAATTTCCCCAGGCAGTGAGTTCCACAGGTGAGAGGCCACCACTGAGAAGGCCCTGCTCCTCGTCCCCACCAATCTCACTTGTGATAGAGGTGGGGTCGAGAGCAGGGCCTCCTCAGAAGATCTTAAACTCCAAGACAGGACGTAGAAGGAGGTGCATTCGGACAGATACACTGGGCCGGAACCGTATAGGGTTTTGTAGGTCAAAACCAGCACTTTGAATTGTGCTCGGAACTGGATTGGCAGCCAGTGGAGCTGGCACAGCAGGGGGGTGGTGTGCTCCCTGTATGACGCTCCGGTGAGTAATTTAGCTGCCGCCCGTTGAACTAATTGAAGTTTCCAAACAGTCTTCAAAGGCAACCCCACGTAGAGTGCGTTGCAGTAATCTATTCGGGATGTAACAAGAGGGTGGACCACTGTTGCCATTACAGGAACACTTCAGTTTCATAATGGGTTGTACTCATCACAAACACATGTTTGTAAGAATATCTATGACTGACATTTCCAAATCTTCTTGTAATTCAGTGTAGGTATAGGGTACAGATTGTTAATAAATGCTACCCCAAACATAGCATGTCTATGAACCATCCCAGAGGTTAAGATTGTCCAGGGAGGCCCTGCTCTCAATTCCATCTCTTTCGCAGGCGTGACTTACCAGGGACAAGAGACAGGACCTTCTCAGTGGTGGCCCTTCATCTATGGAACTCCCTCCCCAGCAAAATTAAATCAGCCTCCCCCCTACTGACCTTTAGGGAAAAAAAGTAAAGATATGGTTGTGGGACCAAGCTTTTGGCTAGTACTGAGCAGTGCAATAAGCTATTATGAAACGAATGTAATGACAAATGCAATGGCCCCAGATAATGATTTGAGGTTGCATTATTTTATGATGTTTTAAAATGTTTGGTTTTTAATGTATTTGTTTATTTTATCGATATGTAACCGGATGGCATTGAATTGTTGCCTTTTGTATGGCCGCTCTGAGTCCTTTTCAGAGTGAGAAGGGTGGGGTACAAATGTAGTAAATAAATAAACAAAATCCTTCAGAAACATTAGTAAGACTGGCAAAAAGGATTCATTGCCTTCTTAAGAAGCATTACAATGTGTGTAGTGTCAACAATCTGTTTCATTTTGAAATACGAATTTTATATGCCCCTTGTTTTGTTTCGTAAATGTTTCTAAACTATCTTGAGGGGTCTGTTTTGTTTCAAACTCCGAAACACCAAAAATTGGTTAATATTTTGTTTACTAAATCTGCCCATTTGTGCCAATGGGAACACTTCCAGAGCTAGTTTATCTCATTTTTATGGTTATCAAGATGAAACCTGCTACACTTATAGGACCACTGTAAGTCCCCCAAGTTTCAGAACGTTTCTCTCATCCAATGATTTTTGGAAAATTTTTAAATTTTAATGATAAGGTTTTTTAAAAAAAAAAAAAACTACAAGAGCTATTCCTTTGAATGTCTCTACATTGATACAATATAACCAGAGCTCACTTCCTCCAAAGTTTCAGAAAGATTCGCACATCCACTGATTTGTAAGGATTTTTCTTTTTCAATTTCAGCACCTTGGCCAAGTCACTCTCCAAACGAATCCTAGTAAACGGAAACTCCTGGCACCTCTATTGATCTCTCTCTTAGAGTGTTGATTGAGGAAGCAACATGGCTGCTGGCTGGCTCTGGCGGCTGCGTGTAAAGCCACTGGAAAACAGACCAAAAATGAGCTCCTCCTGATCCCTCGATCAATTTCCCTCTCAGAATGACAAGAGAGGAGACAGCATGGCTGCTGGCTGCTACGATGGAAAAATGCCAGCAGTCAGGTCCCCGTCTCTTCTCTTATTTATTATTTATTTACATCGTTTATATCCCGCCCATATCAGCCCGCAGGCGACTCAGGGCGGTCTACACGGTAGTCCACGCTCTGGTTACATCCCGTCTAGACTACTGCAACGCTCTCTACGTGGGGTTGCCTTTGAAGACGGCTCGGAAGCTCCAGCTAGTCCAATGCTCGGCAGCCATGATACTAACAGGAGCGGAGCGCAGGGAGCGTACAACTCCTCTGCTACACCAGCTCCACTGGCTACCAATTTGCTACCGGGCTCAATTCAAAGTGCTGGCGTTGGCCTATAAAGCCCTAAACGGTTCGGGCCCAAGCTACCTATCCGAACGTATCTCTGCCTATGAACCCACCAGGACTCTAAGATCTTCTGGGGAGGCCCTGCTCTCGATCCCGCCTGCATTACAAGCACGGCTGGCGGGGACGAGGGACAGGGCCTTCTCTGGGTGGCCCCTCGGCTGTGGAACGCCCTTCCCATGGACATTAGATCAGCTCCTACGTTAATGGTGTTTCGAAAAAACTAAAAACCTGGCTGTTTGAACAGGCATTCGGATAAACACTGCAATGAATACAATGAATATAGGAACGGAATTATAGACGACGAATTGGATCACGATTCTAGTTACGAGACGTTAATGTGTTGTTATTGATGTGCCATTACTGTATATTATGCTCTTATGGTTTTTAAATTGTATATTGTTATATTGTTATGACTGTCTTTTTGCTCTTGTTGTGAACCGTGTTGAGTCGCCTACGGGCTGAGAAACTGCGGTATACAAGCAAAGTAAATAAAATAAAATAAATAAATACATATCGGCACAATTCGATGCCATCAATACATACATTCAAAAAGCAAAAACAATTAAGTGCATTTAGACAAAAAAGACAGTGCAATAACAATTTAAAAAGAGCTGTATCCTCTCCTTCCAATCCTCATCCGTTTCATCGTCTTGGCCATTCCTGGGTCATTCTTCATCTCAAGCTTGACTATTTATTCCGGGGTTTGGAATGCTTGCTCGAAGAGCCAGGTTTTTACTCTCTTCCAAAAAGTCAGGAGGGAGGGGGCTGATCTAATATCCCTAGGCAGGGAGTTCCACAGCCGAGGGGCCACCACAGAGAAGGTCCTGTCCCTCATCCCCGCCAAGGCTGTGGAGAGCATGTGATGGAGCATACGTGGCTGCACCTCCCAGGAGAGTTCGCTTGTGTCAAATAACTAGTCGAGTCTTGGAGACATACAAAAACAAACAAACTTCTTCCAACGTTTTTGGAGATGTCTTTTGATTCATTTGCATTCAGCGGGTGGGTAGGGGGTGCTCTGAGTTCGCAAGTTGCATTGCAAGTATGAATTTGCCAAAATACAACCCACATCCTAATTTGCGCACAGCTCTATGAAGCATCTTTTTCATCTGGATGAGAAGAATTAAAAAAATAGGAAAAATATGTTTAGAAATTACTTTGGTTAGTAAAGCTGCCTGACTTTCAAGGTAGAGTTTGTGGGGTTGGTTTGGGAAATGAATTGTAGATATATCTTCATAATTAGCTATGTTACATGCAAGATCATGATGGAAAGGAATGGTTGCGGGCCTATACGAGGTTGACCCCCTGTGTTTTGCTCTGCAGGTCATTGAGTGCATCACCCAAGGCCGTGTCTTAGAGAGGCCTCGAGTCTGTCCCAAGGAAGTTTACGACATCATGCTGGGCTGCTGGCAGAGGGAACCTCAGCAACGCCTGAACATCAAGGATATCTACAAGATCCTTCTCGCTCTGGGCAAAGCCACCCCAATCTACCTGGACATCCTGGGCTAGCTGCAGCTGCTTTTCAGATATCGTTGTGTCCTTCTTCTCCTGTCCCTACCTCTCCCTTGACCTCAAGCCAACATATTCATATAAACTCAAGTGCCTGCTACACATACAACACTGAAAAAAGAGAGACAATAAAATATACAAGCCCCCTCCCCTTGAAGAAACAAGCAGTAAGGCCATTTGGATTATATATAGCTAGAAATGATATAGAGAGAGGATATCCATCTTCCAGCCAGTAGCTGCTGTTCCAGAAAATGTAAAACACAACTGGAAAGGAGAAGACAAGAGAACGAGAAAGCAAATCCTCGACAGTATTTAAGAGAGAAATGGAAAAAGACAATATTTAACTCAAGGTGTGGAAGTGACTGTGAATCCTCTTGTTTTCTTTTGCGTCCCGCTGCTGGTTAGAGCTCGGTTCACTTGGGAAAGCTAAAAGACAATCCTGTTAAAGGAGGAAAACCTGGAAAGGCTGTGCCTGATCTGGAGCTGCACTGTGCGGAATCAATCCCCTTAAATCGAACTGGGGTGGGGGAGGAACAATGGCATTGGATCCTGGATAGTCCCCTGCCCCTACTTCTGGAGTCATGTTCTCTGCGGATCTCACCTACATTCCTTTTTGTCCCTTCTCCTTCCTCCCACCCAGAATACCAGAAGTTTTCGGATGTTTTCACATGTGCAGACTCTACCCATTTTGGAACCCTTTTGGAACATTTACAGTTCAAAAGGTGTGCATCACCTACGGGTAAATGAACATGTCTGACTCCAAGAACTGGATATGGCATTTTTCTGCCTCTCTCTTTTCTTTTTCTTGGTTTTCTTAAACGAATGTCCTGGGAATGGTGCTGAGGAGCCAAACGACTGTCTTTAAGAGCCATATAGGGAAATGCGCACGAGGCGGATGTCTGGAATGTAACATCTCTCCCGTTCCCGATTTCGCTCCTGGAATAATCATCCACGTGCACACACAGATCTAGCTCAGCACAAGCGTCGTTTCCAGACATGGTGGCTTGGAAGCCACAATCTCAATGGCAGCGGACAGATGATGAAAAAAATCAAACCAGTTCTTCACATAATCTACGTGATACAAACACATATATACACACACAGGCCATATTGGTTCCATCTCTTAATACTGCTTATGGTAATTTATATCATACTGTTTTTTCTTGTACAAAACTATCTTACAACCTGTAGCGAGTTGAGTCTCCCATCAGTATTGTCCAGTAGGTAATGGGGGATGTCCATGTGGATTCTGGACATGTTGTGGGGAGGGGAGTTTGAGGCCAAGAGAGTGAGAGAGGTTGAGAAAGTAAGGCACAGAGTTCATGGTGAAGCACAAACGTTGAATCCAAATATCCCACAGTCCATGTCCCATGGCTGTGTCGTGGAGCAAGCAGCTGGCAATGGGACTCAAATGCCCGCTGCGCAAAGGTGACAATCCAGCTCCTGTCCTACATCTCCTGTTTTGGAGGGTGCTATGCCATCCTTTGTGTTGAGGAGTAATACCACTGCCAAGGGTTTGAAACACTGTCCAGTTTTCTACATGGAGCGGGAGGGGGTATTGTGTTGTTCTTGGCCTCAGGGAGCAAAATATCTTGAGTCAGCCTTAACCCTGTCTCTCTTTTACAATGGTGTCTAGCTGGAATGTAAACTGGAGAGGGTAGACTTCTGTTCCTTTTCTGGAGAAGCTAGAATGTGTCCATTTGCAACCCCATAATTGATCAGTAAGTAGTGGGATGGAGTTGCATTTCACAGCCCTGCACCAAGGATGAGATTGGAAAGCAGGAAGAATTTCCCCGTCCCCTAAAATGTCCTGGTGGAAGCTTTTTCATATTACATCTCAGTCTCAAGGTGTTGTAGTCCAAAGTCCCAGTTCTGGAACTAGGAAGCTGAGTTCTTGGCCAGCCACTGTGTCTCATTTGGTGATGCCAACATTCCTTCATTTCCCATCCTTCTAACAGTGGTTCTCAACCTGTGGGTAACCAGGTGTTTTGGCCTACAACTCCCAGAAATCCCAGCCATTTACCAACTGTTAGGATTTCTGGGAGTTGTAGGCGAAAACATCTGGGGACCACAGGTTGAGAACCATTGTTCTAACACAGTGGTTCTCAACCTGGGGTCTCCAGATGTTTTTGGCCTACAATTCCCAGAAAGCCCAGCCATTTACCAACTGGGTTGTTGTAGGTTTTTTTGGGCTATATGGCCATGGTCTAGAGGCATTCTCTCCTGACGTTTTGCCTGCATCTATGGCAAGCATCCTCAGAGGTAGTGAGGTCTGTTGGAACTAGGAAAGAGGGTTTATATATCTGTGGAATGACCAGGGTGAGACAAAGGACTCTTGTCTGCTGGAGCTAGGGGTGAATGTTTCAACTGACCACCTTGATTGCCATAGATGCAGGCGAAACATCAGGAGAGAATGCCTCTAGACCATGGCCATATAGCCCAAAAAAAACCTACAACAACCCAGTGATTCCGGCCATGGAAGCCTTCGACAATACATTTACCAACTGTTAGGATTTCTTGGAGTTGTAGGCGAAAACATCTGGGGACCCACAGGTTGAGAGCCATTGTTCTAACAGGTCGTCTAATCAGGATTTTATTAATTATTTATTAACCATATTTATATACCACTTTCCCTTTAATAAGCTCAAGTTTGTATTCATTCCTTTTGTGGGGGGGGGGGATAAACACAATGTTTGCAAAAGTAACTACAGTAGACACTCAGTTAACTGGCACTGTGGAGGATTGATAGACATTGGGTAGATGTAGTTTCTGGTTGCTTGAGAGTTATAGACCTAATTAATATTATGCCGGTTCCCCTGGTGGCACAGTGGGTTAAAGCGCTGAGCTGCTGAACTTGCTGACTGAAAAGTCGCAGGTTCGAATCTGGGGAGCGATGGGAGAGGCCACTGTTAGCCCCAGCTTCTGCCAACCTAGCAATTCGAAAACATGCTAGGAGCACATTACCTTCCAAGTGGTGCAGTGGAGTCCAGAATGTTCTTTGATTGTAAGTGAACTATAATTGGGCATATTGAGTATTTGTGCCAAGGTTGTTGTAGGTTTTTTTGGGCTATATGGCCATGGTCTAGAGGCATTCTCATCTGACGTTTTGCCTGCATCTATGGCAAGCATCCTCAGAGGTAGTGAGGTCTGTTGGAACTAGGAAAGTGGGTTTATATATCTGTGGAATGACCGGGTTGGGCCAAAGGACTCTTGTCTGCTGGAGCTAGGTGTGAATGTTTCAACTGACCACCTTGATTAGCATTTGATGGCCTGGCAGTGCCTGGGACAATCTTTTGTTGAGAGGTGATTAGCTGCCCCTGATTGTTTCCCCTCTTTTGTTTTGCTGTTGTAATTTTAGAGTTTCTTAAATATTGGTAGCCAGATTTTCTTCATTTTCATGGTTTCTTCCTTTCTGTTGAAATTGTCCACATGCTTGTGTACTTCAATGACTTCTCTGTGTCGTCTGACATAGTGGTTGAGAGTGGTCCAGCATTTCTGTGTTCTCAAATAAAATGCCGTGTCCAGGTTGGTTCATCAGGTGCCAAGTTTGGTCCAGATCTATCACCGTTTGAGTCCACAGTGCTCCCTGGCTGTAGGTGAACTACAACTCCCAAACTCAAGGTGGAAGGGTTTGGTGGGCTCCAAAGCTCACCAAACCCTTCCACTATTTTCTGTTGGTCACGGGAGTTCTGTGTGCTAAGTTTGGTTCGATTCCATCGTTGGTGGAGTCCAGAATGCTCTTTGATTGTAGGTGAACACTGTGGACTCCAACAGTGATGGATCTAGACCAAACTTGGCACAAGCAACTACAACTCCCAAATGACAAACTCAATCCTCCCCCCCCCCCCAATCCCACCAGTATTTGGGCATATCAGGTATTTGTGCCAAATTTTGTCCAGTGATTGAAAATCACAGTAGCAAAATTACGGTTGTGAAGTAGCAACAAAAATAATGTTATGGTTGGGGGTCACCACACGTGAGGAACTGTATTAAGGGGTCATGGCATTAGGAAGGTTGAGAACCACTGTCTTACAGTGACCTGAGAATGAGAGGCCTCCAAGCCTCAGGGCTGGGGCTTCCATGAATTTGTCATGGTAAGCAGTGGGCAAATGACTGGGAGCTTCCACAAAGCTGTTGAGATGTTTCTGCCTCGGTGGAGGTTTGGCTGTGACTACCTCTTCCATTCACACATAACGACTTACCTGTGGCTGTTTTGCTTTGTGCTGAAATGGAAGACATCCTGGGGAACGTGTTTTGAAAAGATCATAGCAGAAGAGAGGTTGATGCAGTGTTTGTGGAGTTGTGGAGTTGGTGCAAAGGCCTGCAAGGACTGGTAGCATCTATCGCTCAGACCACAAAAACTATTGTAGCAGCCATGCCTTCTCTGCAGGGAGTCACCATAACTGTGTGCTCGGGAGGGCTAAAGCTCTCAAACAGAGATGTCTCTGCATCCCTTGCCAAACTAAAATTCTCAGGGTGTATTGTCGAAGGCTTTCATGGCTAGAATCACTGGGTTGTAGGTTTTTCTGGCTATATGGCCATGTTCTAGAAGCATTCTCTCCTGACATTACGCCTGCATCTATGGCAACCTATGAGGATGCTTGCCATAGATGCAAGCGAAACGTCAGGAGAGAATGCTTCTAGAACATGACCATATAGCCCGAAAAACCTACAACAACCCATTCTCAGGATGCTTTGTGGGGAGTTCACAACAGTTAAAAATGCTTATAGCATGCATGTATCTGTCAGATGGCTTCCATGGTTGTTGAGTGGTTTCCAAAACATCCCTTTTATATAATTTATTTGAGGACATTTATATATATTGCTTATTGTTGGACCAAAGGGATCTGCACGATTTCCCAGATATATGATGAGTTTTATGATGAGCTATAGTAGTAATCTATCAGCAGTAGGTGACCTTGTAGAAAGAAACAGTCGCTCATGTTCACTCACTTCGTGCCCACAGTGGTGCAACAGGTTAAATCCTTGTGCTGGCAGGAGTGCTGACCAGAAGGTTGGCAGTTCATATCCAGGGAGTTGGGTGAGCTCCCATCTGTCAGCTCCAGCTTCCCATGCACGGACATGAGAGAAGCCTCCCACAGGATGGTAAAAGCCCATGATCACTCACTTTGAGTCCCCGGTGGTGCAATAGGTTAAACCCTTGTGCTGGCCAGAAGATCAGCAGTTCGAATCTGGGGAGTGGGATGAGCTCCCTTCTGTCAGCTCCAGCTTCCCATGCGGGGACATGAGAGAAGCCTCCCACAGGATGGTAAAAGCCCATGATCACTCACTTTGAGTCCACAGTTGTGCAATAGGTTAAACCCTTGTGCTGGCAGGACTGCTGACCAGAAGGTCAGCGGTTCGAATCTGGGGAGTGGGATGAGCTCCCATCTGTCAGCTCCAGCTTCCCACGTGGGGACATTAGAGAAGCCTCCTACAGGATGGCAAAACATCCAGGCATCCCCTGGGTAACATCCTTGCAGACGGCCAATTTTCTCACCCGAGAAGCAACTTGCAGTTTCTCAAGTTGCTCCTGACATGAAAAAAAAACCTCACTTTGTGCACCATTTGACAATTATGTCCATATGCATAGAATTGCTTTCATAAATGGAGTCATGGGCAGACTTTGTGAAATTGTGTAAAAAATATGGAAGAGTCCAGTGCTTTCTGTATAGTCATTGTTCTCCTTCTTCTCCTCCTCTCTTCTTCTTTTTCATGTAGCGTCATCCAAATATGTGATTCTATACAGAGTAAGAATACAATGAGATGCGTTTTGTCCCCAAGGACATTAGAATTTGAATTTGCAGCAATCCGAAAAACTGACAACAAGAGAACTGAACAGTAAAAAAATTGGAAAGGACAATAGATATGAGCTACGAAAGAATGTCAGCGATTTAAGTTTGCACCTATGTTGACTTTGTTTCAGAATGTGAAATTCTTGCCCACTGAATCACCCAACGCTCATCCATTCGGAAACGCTTAGTGTTTGTTTGAGCCGTCTCTTTAAAAGAGAACATTGATATAGTTTCCAAGGGAGAGTTTGCTAGACAGCTTTTGACATAGAATCTGCGACTTAGTGCTTTTCAAAATGATACATCTCGTGCCCAGTAAGGGTATATAATATTGTCTACTTGATTCTTTTTTCACCCTCAGTTTCACCTTTCCATAGTCACCATCACACTACAGCCACCATTTTTGGAAAATGGACATCTCCATAACCTTCTGGAGATTTTATCATCTTTGGAAAGGCATGACCATGTTAGAAGTCACAACCTTTTGAAAAAATGATGCCATATCCTCTTGGTAAAAATCATGACCTGTTGCAAGGTTTCTCAACCTGGGGGTCAGGACCCCTGAGGGGGTCGCGAAGGGCTGTCAGAGGGGTCACCAAAGACCATCAGAAAACACAGTATTTTCTGATGGTCGTGGGGATTCCATGTGGGAAGTTTGAGCCAATTCTATCGTTGGTGGAGTTCAGAATGTTCTTTGATTGTAATGAACTATAAATTCCAGCAACTACAACTCCCAAAATTCAAGGTCTGTTTTCCCCAGGCTCCACCAGTGTTCACATTTGCGTATATTGAGTATTTGTGCCAAGTTTGGTCCAGATCCACCATTGTGTGAGTCCACAGGGCTCTCTGGATATAGGTGAACTACAACTCCCAAACTCAAGGTTTTTTCGGACTATATGGCCATGGTCTAGAGTCATTCTCCTTTGACGTTTAGCCTACATCTATAGCAAGCATCGTTAGAGGTAGTGAGGTTTGTTGGAAGTAGGAAAATGGGTTTATATATCTGTGGAATGACCAGGGTGGGACAAAAGACTCTTCTCTGCTGGAGCTAAGTGTGAATGCTTC